GGGGCCGTGCCCCGGGGAAGGGCTGGCCCAGGCTGGGTGGGCGCGGGGCCCTGTCACCCGGAGGTGCCCGGCCGGGGTCAGCCAGTGGTGACCGGGACGGGACGTGCCAGCACCACTCCTGCTTGGGCCCGTGCCCCCACCGCGGGTGTCCGCTGCCGGGGAGTCGTTCAGGGTGCCCTTCTCAGGGGAAGAGGGCTGGGAGTTACCGCCCGAAGCAGGGCTTACTGCAGGGGTGGAGGTAGGGTGGGTCTGTGGTAGTGCACAGCTGAACTCTGCAAAGAGGTGCTAAAATTCTGCACGAGGCGAAATTTTCTCTGAACATGTTTTCATCGTTTCAGGAGTCTCCGAAGTCTACCAAAAGCACCACAAAGCCTGGCAGCAGCAGTAGCGGGAAGGATGGTGGGGCAGAGAATTCAGAAGAGGTAAGGCTTTCACCTTGGATACAGCAGTGCGCGTGTGCAACTCATCTTTGAGGAGGAATAACATCTTTCATTCTAGCTACTTCAAGCTGCTCTGCCAGATAACGTATGTCACTGGGATCTTAAGGAATCAGAGAAGACGGTAGCAAAGACTAAAGTTAAGATGAAGTTAGTTCCCCTTGAAAGTTGGCCCAAAGGGAACGATGACTATGGAAGAGACAGGACGAGTCTCATACCCTGCAAAAAGAGATTTGGCACAAAGCTGACAGTGAGCGCTGCTCACAGAGGTGGGCAGAGCGTGGTAAAGTTGGCCACTGGGATCTTAAGGAATTAGAGAAGACGGTAGCAAAGACTAAAGTTAAGATGAAGTTAGTTCCCCTTGAAAGTTGGCCCAAAGGGAACGATGACTATGGAAGAGACAGGACGAGTCTCATACCCTGCAAAAAGAGATTTGGCACAAAGCTGACAGTGAGCGCTGCTCACAGAGGTGGGCAGAGCGTGGTAAAGTTGGCTGCAGAGAGGGAAGAGCCACGGTTATCAAGAAGGAGGAAGCCTGACAGACGGGAGCAGCTTCCTTGCTCCTGTCAGAGCAAAGCGCAGTAAACTCTGTTGTCACCTTGTGTCAGAGTGGGAGAGTAGTGAGAAGCGATAGAAAAGGAACGTATTCTTCTGAGGCATTTTCTGGGCGAGTGAGATTAGGAAGTAATGGGT